CCAGAGCTCGAACCCACAAACCGCAAGATCATGACCTGAGCCGAAGTCGGACGCTTAACTGACTGAGCCACCCAGGCGCCCCTACCTTAATCACCTCTTTAAAGGTACTATCCAAATACAGTCATATTCTGAGGTACTGGGAGTTAGGGCTTCGACATATAAATTTTGAGGGGGACACAGTTCGGGCCATAGCGGGATCCTAGACCTATCTGTATTTTCCTGAAGAGGTGTAATGCCTGAGCAAATATTGTCGGGCCCTCTGCTGTCTCCTTATCAATGATGTGATCATACCCTGCTCCTAGATCCTTTGTTTACAGTTCCAATCTATTTTGTAGCCCAAGTTCCTCTCCAAAGCGGAACGAGAGGCTGAAGCCCTAAAGCGACGACAGCAGGAGGTGGAGGAGCGACAGAGGATGCTCGAAGAAGAGCGCAAGAAAAGGAAACAGTTCCAAGACTTGGGCAGGAAAATGTTGGGTTCGTTTTCCTCCCCTGTGTAGCCCTTAGAAGGAGTAGGAGAGGATGGGTTGGAATTGTAGTGTCACTCAGGAGAGCCAGAAACCTGTTTGCTCTGGAGTTTGGAAGAGGGAGGGCTGGGGGAGTTGATGACCATATGTCTGGGTTACGTCTCCATTTCCCTTGTATTGCAAATCTCCCCCTTCTCATTTGATGTCTGTCGTCCAGATCCTGTCCGTGCCCTCTTTTGTCTTGCACTGAGTTCTTCTGCAGCTTTGCTTTCCTTGGTCTGCAGAAGACCCTCAGGAACGGGAACGTCGGGAACGCAGGGAGAGGATGGAGCGGGAGACCAATGGAAATGAGGATGAGGAAGGGCGACAGAAGATCCGGGAAGAGAAGGATAAGAGCAAGGAACTGCATGCCATTAAGGTGCAGGCCTTGGTTCTGTGCTCATTTCCCCCGCCACACACAAGAATGAGATTTAGTTATTTGGCCATTCCGATCTCTGCATGTGAGATCTGGGTGGGCCTGGAGCTTCATGGGCTTTGCATTCCGTCCCTGGGCAGGAGCGCTATCTGGGTGGTATCAAGAAGCGGCGCCGAACAAGGCATCTCAATGACCGCAAGTTTGTCTTTGAGTGGGACGCATCGGAGGACACGTCCATCGACTACAACCCCCTGTGAGTGGCTTCAGGCCTGTGTGCTAGGTCTTTTAAGGCAGTTCCTGGAAAGAACTGGTGCTACAGAAAGAGCAGTAAGATTCTGGGGTGGGGAAATCGGTAAGCGCATAGTCAGCCAGCTCTCTGGGTGAGGAAAGACCCCAGTTACGAAGGTGTACATATTGGTTCATGTCAGCAGTCCGCCCTTCCCTCCTGCTGCTATAACAAACCCCTGTCTCCACCTCAGATACAAGGAACGGCACCAGGTGCAGTTGTTGGGGCGAGGCTTCATTGCAGGCATTGACCTGAAGCAGCAGAAACGAGAGCAGTCACGTTTCTACGGAGACCTGATGGAGAAGAGGCGGACACTGGAAGAAAAGGAGCAGGAGGAGTGAGTGGCAGGGCTGGGGGTGGTTGGGCAGAGCCCAGAACCTACAGAAAGGAGCTGGAGGAAGGATACTGATCCCACTTGTTCCTCACGTCCCACTCCAGGGCCAGACTCCGCAAGCTCCGTAAGAAGGAAGCCAAGCAGCGCTGGGATGATCGGCACTGGTCCCAGAAGAAGTTAGATGAGATGACGGACCGGGACTGGCGGATCTTCCGAGAGGACTACAGCATCACCACCAAAGGTGGCAAGATCCCCAATCCCATCCGGTCCTGGAAAGACTCTTCTCTGCCCCCGCACATCTTGGAGGTCATCGATAAGTGCGGGTACAAGGTAAGGAGGGACAGCTTGGCCCAGAAGACCTGATGTGTTCCCATGTTCTAGGGGATACACACTTAATTTGGGAACAGAGAGCTTTGTTCTTTTGTTCCTCTGTTTTGTTCCTCTTCTGCCAGGGAGCACTAAGGTGATGCTCTCACTTTCTGGTGGAAGTATTGGCCTTTGGTGACTGTGTTTCCTCACTGTGAACTGCTGTCCTCCTCTTGTGCTGGCCCACGTGCCCACTCTGTCAGCAGTGGCTTGGGTAGCCGGACTCCATCTGTACCCATTATTGTCTCTGGGTCACTGCAGGAACCAACACCTATCCAGCGTCAAGCAATTCCCATTGGGCTACAGAATCGTGACATCATTGGTGTGGCTGAGACCGGCAGTGGCAAGACAGCAGCCTTCCTCATCCCATTGCTCGTCTGGATCACCACTCTCCCCAAAATTGACAGGTGGGGTCGGCAGGTCCCAGGTGGGGTGGGTTTGGCTGGGTGGGAAAGGTCACAGTGGCAACTGAGCGTTTGGTTTTCTTTTTAAGTCTACAGTCAGAAGCCCCCTTCTTTAGTCTGGGTCAGATACTAGGGAATAATTGGATCACGGTATCAAAGAGGTGTATGATTTTGTTGGCAAGGACCACTCCCTGAAGAACTTGGCTGCCCTGGAGTCTCTGATTTTTAAATGAGATCTTTGCATCCTTTTCCCACCACCCTCCCCATCTCCATAGCTGCCCTTAAGAGTGACTTTGTCTTGCTCCTGTTTGTGGTTGGATAAGAACGAAAGCTCACGGAACTGTGGGATGCCCCGTTTACCACAGGATCGAAGAGTCAGACCAAGGCCCTTATGCCATCATCCTGGCCCCCACTCGTGAGTTGGCTCAGCAGATTGAGGAAGAGACCATCAAGTTTGGGAAGCCACTGGGCATCCGCACTGTGGCTGTCATTGGCGGCATCTCCAGAGAGGACCAGGGCTTCAGGCTGCGCATGGGCTGTGAGGTTCGTTCACCTAGCGGACAGCCAGCCCACTGTTTGAGGGTTCTCACTTTGGGGGCCGTGTCTCTGGTTTCTGCCATAGACGTACAGTAAAGTGAAGAAAAGGACTGGTTTATATATATGTGCTGTTACTTGTCGAGAACTTAAGAACCAGGTATCGTACTGTGCGCATCATTAATTTTACCAACAACCAAATGAGAGAGCGAGGTGGTGGACCTCCGTTGTGCAGGTGAAGCTGAGGCTCAGGTCAGTAACTTGCCCAAAGTCACAGCTGGCAATGAGCAGAGCTGAGACTCATACCACAGCCTTTGTTGTCACTCACTCTGCCAGACCATGTCAGTGACTTCACGTATTGGCTCCTCAAGGTAGAGGAAGAGAGCTTTCGATAAGAAATTTTATGGAGGAATTGAGTCTTTTGCAACTTCCTGGCATAATCCCTTTGTATAATTCTCTCCATGGTTTCCCTTAGTCTCTCTTCCATCTAAGAAAGTTCCTGATTTTGCCTCTTCTGTTTGACTCCTGAGCCTTACTCAGAGACCCTGTTCACGCCTTAAAAAAATCCAAGGTGGCAACAAGCGATTCTGTGCCAGTTCTTAGGAACCTTTGCCGTCAGTCATAACTGCAGGTTGGGGTCCAAGTTCCTTAGCATTGGAGGTCTGTTGTCTGAGCGGGTGGATAGTTCACAGGAGGGAGAAGAAAGGGGTACGTGCTGCGGCTGCATATGTTTCCACTGTGCCCTCCAGATTGTGATAGCTACCCCAGGACGTCTGATTGATGTGCTGGAGAACCGTTACCTTGTGCTGAGCCGCTGTACCTATGTGGTTCTGGATGAGGCAGATAGGATGATTGACATGGGCTTTGAGCCAGATGTCCAGAAGATCCTGGAGCACATGCCTGTCAGCAACCAGAAGCCGGACACGGATGAAGCTGAGGACCCTGAGAAGATGTTGGCCAACTTTGAGTCAGGAAAACATAAGTACCGCCAAGTAAGGCCGCTTCCCTAAGCTGGGAAAAGGGGGCAAGTTGCCAAACCTGCTCTGAGGCCCTTCTTGCCCTGGGGGGGGGGCCCACGGTACATTTACCAGCATGTCCTCTGACAGTCCTGGCAGCGGAGCCATTATTGGCTTTGCCCTCGAAAATGGTTCCAAGGCATCATGCTACTCCCCACCATGGGTGCCAGCAAATGCTCTCAGCCCTTCGCGTCATCATAAGATGCAAAATACCTTGGTGAGCAGGTAGTGAGGAAAGAAGTGGGAAAGCAAAGGACATGATTTCCTATGGCAGTGGCTGTTAAAGCCTACTCCATGGCTCGTTTTAGGTTCGTTAGCCCAGGCTACACTTCCTGTGGTGATGGAGGATATGGCGGTGCCTGCCTGGGCCCAGGGCTGAGCTTCCTGTTTTCACAGACAGTCATGTTTACGGCCACCATGCCCCCAGCGGTGGAGCGTCTGGCCCGGAGCTATCTGCGGCGACCTGCTGTGGTGTACATTGGCTCTGCAGGCAAGCCTCATGAACGTGTGGAACAGAAGGTCTTCCTCATGTCAGAGTCGGAAAAGAGGTACGGGGGCGGCTGAGCCTGGCAAAACATGATGGAGAAGGCGCATTTTTCTGTATGCGGGATGATGGAGGGTGAATGTTCTGCCGTTCTAAAGAGCTGCGGTTTGCTTGTTCGGGACGCCATGGGATTGAAGGTCCTGGAATTGGTGTTGGTAGATCAGAGCGTGCGTCTCAAAGGTCTGCCTCTCATTTTTCTCCTCTGCCTCTTCTCCCCAGGAAAAAGCTGCTGGCAATCTTGGAACAAGGCTTTGATCCACCCATTATCATTTTTGTCAACCAGAAGAAGGGCTGCGATGTTTTGGCCAAATCTCTGGAGAAGATGGGGGTATGTCTGGCGAGAGAGAGCCAAGTCCGCTCTCTTTGGTGGGACTTTCTGAAAATAGAGGGCCCCTCTGAGGCTCCTCCTTTCAGTTCTGTCCCATTCTTTAACCTAGGGTTCAAGTCAGGGCTGGAGGGAAAAGGGTGGTGTGACAGGGATGAGGGAACTGGGTCTGTTGTGTGATCCCCTGTCTAGTCCTGCAAGGGCAGCCAGAGCTGCCTTGGGTCTTCCTCCAAGGGGGCCGGGCCAGGGACAGGTTTTGAGACACACATCCTGGCCGGACAGGAGGCTGTAGAACAGTAGATCAGAGTTCTTTGTGTTTATAGATGTATGGGAAAGTGGGTGGTGCATCACGAGGGACATGGGGGATTGGTGTCCTTTACTCCTGCTACTGGTGTTTCAAGGGTCCTTAAATGTCTTGGTCCCTGCTTGCCGCCCTCATCTCAGCCTCATTCTCTCTTTGATGACTTCCCGTCTGTCTGGCTCCGCGCCACCTGCCCCCCAGTCGCTTTACCGTTAGTACTATCACTTTATTTTTACTCTCTTTCCCCTCTCGCCCCAGGGCTTTACCTTTGTCCTCACTCTGTCTGCCCCTGCCGCACCACACCCTGTTCTCTCCCGTCCCTTTCTTCAGCTCACCTGTTCTCTGCTTGCTTCCAGTAGCACTCGTTCTCTCCCCCTCCTCCTTCCGCATCTGCCCTGCTGCTCTGCAGCCCTCCCTCACGGTCTCCACTCCCTTCTGTGTCTTTCCATGACCCCACTGCTCTCTTCTCACCTTGCCATTGTTCCAACAGTACAATGCTTGCACGCTGCATGGTGGAAAAGGCCAGGAGCAGCGAGAGTTTGCACTGTCCAACCTCAAGGCTGGGGCCAAGGATATTTTGGTGGCTACAGATGTGGCGGGTCGTGGTATCGACATCCAAGATGTGTCTATGGTTGTCAACTATGATATGGCCAAAAACATTGAAGGTAAGTGCGGGCGGAAGCAGCTTCCATCCAGGTAAAGGGGGCCTCCTTGTCTCATTCCACTTGAAGCCGGAGGCTCTTGCTGCCATTCCTCACAGCTCCAAGTCTGGGATTGCTTGTCCCGGTGGGAAGAGCTCTGCTTTTTATCTCCCATGGGTTTTGTCCCAGCACCCAGGACAGCTCTGTCTCCGGGGTGTGGGCCGCTTTCAGTCTGGGTGTGGCAGGTTGATCCCCATCGTTAGTGGTGGAGAGGGCACTGTGGGCGCCGCGGGGGTCAGGCCGCGTGGGGGGGGGGCGGCGGG